CCTCCTTTCGTATTTATGTTATTGGTTTTTTTTTCGTTGTCAAACAGTAATATTTAAAAAATATTTAATAAATATTTCATTGTATCTGATTTATCACTTTCACGGGTTTATTACGAATCAACTTAACGGCCTGCTCCCAGTTGGCTTGTTAGCTCAATTGGTAAGAGCGCTGCACTAGTATCGCAGAGGTCAGTGGTTCGAATCCCGTACAGGCCTGATTTTTTTCAGGTCTGATTTTCGCTATTGCTTAAATAGCGCTATCTACTGCGAGGATCGTGCATCATACGTAAGATCTGTTTATATTGCACAATGCAGTTGCATTGCTGATCCCAGCAGTGTGCAAAACGCTTTTCATATATGAACCCTGGTCCTAATAATAGTCAGGCTCACCATTGAGTTCTCTGCAGCTCTTTGGTAGAGCATGCAACCTTGAAAGGTCTGAATTGAGTCCTCCTGCATCTCAGATTTGAAAATTCTTCCATTCCTAATGTTTGGTCATGAATTAAAAGTGGGAGTGTGTGCAAGCATTTTACATATGTCTTGATTTAAGAATTGATCTTTATTTCACTTCCAATTGTAGCAAATCTGTGATGAGTGCAAAGACCTTGGACAGTTAACAGAAGATCGACGGAAAAAACTTGAGGTATGTTAAAAAGCTGTTAGTGTTGATCAGCATTCCAATTAACTCACTGCTGGAAAAATTAAAAAAAATTAAAAAATTTTACCATGACAAAAACTATTTGGAGGTAAGAATGTGATTATTTACAACAGACAGTTTGCCCACGGCATAAGTTTTTTTTCCCATTAACACACAAAATTCTGTTGTCAGGTCATTTTAAGGGGTTGAACTAAAATGGTTAAACTTTATCGTTATTATTTGTTCTCCAGGACCGTGAAGCAGTACTGGTACAACTGGACAACTTGCTGTTAGAGTTTGCCAAAAGAGCAGCGGTAAAAGACATTACTTTATTTGTAGCTTGATTACTTGTTTGGTATTAGAATACAGCAAGAGCTTTTACAGTAACATAAAAGTTGTATACTGTAAATTAGCTTCTTTGCACTTGTTTCGAATACATCCTAGGATGAGGTTGGCTGCCAGATATGATGGCTATTTGCTGTGTACCAGCTGAATGTGAACAGCAACAAACGGGTTGATTGTGGATGAACCACTTTAAAACCCTAAGAGTGATCAGCCTCCGATTTCTCCTAACTGAAACACTGCTGAATCATTCATTAACTTCATGAGAATAAAGGAAATGATCACCAACCTAACAAGCTTCGATTGTTACAAGAATTCTCTTTGCCACTATCAAAGGAGATATATGAGAAAAGTATTTAAAATATGTTAAGGGCGAACAGGTTGACGTACGATGCTGATCCTATAGTTTCATCAGTGTTTTAATTGATACTTGCAGATGTTTGTCCAAAGCTAACAAATTTGTTAACTAATCTTAGCCAGAAGTTGTGCAGTTTTTGTAGGTTTGTTTTTCCCTCTCAAATGTATCTCTTTCTCCGTTGTTTTTAAAGCCATTCAACAACTGGCTAGAAAGTGCACGCGAAGATTTAATGGACATGTTCAGTGTGCATACTGTGGAGGAGGTTGTGGTAAGAAAAATCTGACTTGTCTTCATTTGAACCTAAAGTTCGGAGACCAGGTGCTGTTTTAAAACTAGTTACCAATCAGAAATTCATCCTTACAATATCATACGTTTTTCACGCAGAAACGTGACAAGAAGAAAGGTTAAATCATTGACTATGGGATGTTTTGTGATTGAGCTAAAATGTTGAAAATGTAGGACAGACAGTGTGGACAATTATTATGAAGATCTAAGGATTAACACACAGCCATATTTAACAAATGGTAAACACCACAGCGCACACTATTGAGTAATGGTTGCGCGCGGAAAAATAATCTTTGCATTTGCTCACGTTGGCAGCGTACACCCATGGGCAAATGGGGGACGCTAAATTGACCAATTAGAGCGCGCGCTTTACTTTGGTTATGTTATAATTTGGTTTCTGTTAGGAACTGCAAGATGCCCATAAGGTCTTCAAGGACAACATGCCAGCTGCAAGAGACGAGTATCATTCTATTATGAAGTTGAGTGACGTAATTGAGGAATTGAGTGATCTGGAAAACCCTTACACCAGCCTTACTAAACAGGTAACAAATCGATTTTGAGTCAAAAATTTGATATGGGGGAGTCAGAGACTTGACGTTGGTTACAGTATCACTTGGGTGTGGATTCTGTGGTTGTCACACACCAATGACCATTTCATCATCTTCTCGGATAGGGATGAGTAAATGGAGGTCCCGTCTCCTGCAGGGTTGGGGTAGGAGACGTTAATTTCCCACTCACGAGATTACTGTGTGATGGATGTCCTCCCCTGGTTGGGATGGGTGGGAAGGTGAGATCGATGGACTGAAGTGGCTGCCAGAGGCGCCTGATATGCTGACGTCTGTTCTCAACCTTAAACTGCACCCGTAATTCAGCCTTAGGCAGCAAGCGGTCAGAAATACTATACTATATTATTATTTTTAAAAATCGAGTTTNTTAAAAATTGTTTATTTCATCTTTACATGCTCACTTTGGAGGCTGGTTGGCTGCATGTGATGCTTTAATGCATGTGATGCTTTAATGTGACAGCGTGATGCTGTTAGTGAGCTTCTATGCGCTAGCTGATGTTTGGCTGTGTAGCCGCGTGATGCGGTTCCAGTCAATACCCACTAATTGACCCTTGCTCACCATAGAGTCTCCTGTAGCTCAGTGGTTGGAGCATCCGACTAGATTACGGAGGGTCGTGGGTTCAAATCTCATCTGGAAACTCGATTTTTAAAAAAAGTGTTTATTTCATCTTTATATCATTATTATTATTATTATATCTTTTTATCCCAGCCAAATCAAACCATACTTGTATCTTGAGAGGGCCTTATTGCCTTGAGTATGCCCCTGAACATATCAAGGACTGCTATTAAAAGAAAAATCGTCTTTCTGTTTCTTTGAAAGGAAATCATGCTCGCATGGAATGAGGTCGACACTCTGGTACCAAAGAGAGACGAACTGCTTGAAAATGAGAAGGAAAGACAAGAACGTATCTTTGACTAAAAAATGATGCAAAATAAGCATTAAAGGACGATCACTTTAAATTTGTGAGCTGGCTCATCTTTGAAATTGTCTTATTCAAGTACCATTTTTTTTGGGTGAAGAATTACTGTAATGAAAGTTATAAGGGCGAGTAACTCAATCGGAAACCGGTCTCCTGTAATCGCATGTAGTAGTTTAGTTTGGAAAAATACATTCCTTAACAGTCACAAGGTAACGAGAAACTTCGGGTGGAGTTCGCACAAAAGGCGAATCAAATTGGACCGTGGATCAGACGCAACGAAGAAGAGTTACGATCTATTACTTTGACATCCGTTGGACCTTTGGAGGTATGTTTTTGCATCGTCAGAACAGTGGTAGGTTTTGTCTTCTGAATTAAGGATAGAAAGTAAGTTTTCATTCAAGTTGGCAAAATTACATTAGAACAAAGTCAACCTGTATGAGCTTAGCGGACTCAAACGGTCTGTGTTCATCGTCAAAAATGCCCCCTCACGTGGCATCTTTGAATCTCGCGCAGTTTTTTAGCGGCTTCCCCCACCAACCCTAAGCATGTAGGGAATTGCATGTAGCATCCTTTATGGGACCTGGTAGGACGCAGTGGGAGCTCCAGAATACCCCTGGCACCGACTTTCGAATCCAGTAGGGTAGTAATTAAGTTGAATACAAAGGCTCATGTTATTGTTATCATAACCCATAACAGGAACAACTGCAAGCAATACAAGGACTTGAAAGAGATGTTACCAGTCACAAGCCTCAAATGGATGAGTTAGAATTGGTTAACCAGGTGAGGAACTGGGCCCAACTCAGTAGCGTTGCAGAACGCAGGAAGATTTGAGACGAGATAAGGAGAGTTTTTCTGGGGTCTGGCACTAACACCATTAGTTCTAGACTGCTTGCAGAATTTTTGCCGGCTCGTATCGCTCACGGCCACACATTGGAGACCATGTCCTGTGAAATGCAAACCAGCTTTCAACTAAAAGGAGAAAAATATGACCTTGATAAAAAAAGGCAAAAGATACGTTAATTTGCCAAAAAGGAATATGTGATTGAGAAATAAAATGCCTCTGAGTATTACTGCTGATTCTTATTTACAAAAACGGCGTTCTCTAGTTTTAAAAACAATAGATTTCGCCTTTCCATCTGAAGCCTTGAAAATATTAAATATTTTAAATGTTCTTCTGTTTACAGGACGTCCAAGAAGCTTTGATCTTTGAGAATCCCCATACAGAATACACCATGGAAGTAAGTACGATCGGTTGATTTCTTTCCAGCAATAACCATTACTAAAGAGCCAACTGGGTTTATGTTGCTTTGAGTACCACTAATGACAGTCATTGTTTATTGATAATCACTGGAAAAGGAAAGTACTTGCGCCCAATTAAACAGTTACGGGAGATGACTATGAGGAAGTGTTATGTTGTTTAAATGAACTAAAATCATGAATAATTAAAAGCTTGAATTAATACATGACTGAAATGTATATCTTTTCAATTTCTTTAGGCTCTTCGAGTTAACTGGGAGCAGCTGCTAACTGCAATCGCTAGAAACATCAATGAAGTTGAAAATCAGGTTAGATTTTAATGAAACGTTCATTTGGTGAGTAATTGGAAATGTTGTGGAACTAACATCGTGGAGGGATCGACTGACAATCTGTTTTTGCTGTTCTTTTTGCTTCCTGATTGACTTTTGATAACTAAATTTTGGCGGAGATGGCAACTGAAGACAGCAAGAGGCAAATCTGCCCCCATTTCCCGGACCCACTTTGTTCTACTTCTATTAATTACAGTGGTAATTTCAATATATCAACAAAGTTGAAATGGTAAATTGGCCACCGTTACGATTATAAAAGCTGACGTTTCGAGCGTTAGCCCGTCGTCGGAGCTCCGACGAAGGGCTAACGCTCGAAACTTCAGCTTTTATAATCGTAACGGTGGCCAATTTACCATTTCAACTTTGTTGATAAAATTATATTGAAATTATTTCGTTATCCCCACCGACGCAGCCCCAAACAGTTTCTTTAGAAACTATCAGCCTTTATTTATTACAGTAGGATTCCCAAACCTTGTTTACACGTGTTTTTGTATTCGCAGATTCTAACAAGAGATTCCAAAGGTCTTTCAGAGGAACAGATGAAAGAATTCAGAACTTCATTCAACTTTTTCGACAAGGTTTGCCATGTTGTCGATACTGGAGCGCTACGGATCATAGCTAACCTCCCATGAGTGACCAAGACAGAATTTCTCCTTATAATATCAATACAATATCCAGTAGACAAGTGATGAGAATAAAGAAAAATTTCAATTAGTTGATTATAAGTTGATCCAAATTCTCCAAAATAACGTCATCGGCATTGTATGACAGACTGTAAGGACAATTACTAGTGAGATCTGAGAGTTAGAAAGGTTAATGACCTTTCCGTTTGGTATACATTTGCTCATTGTAGTTAGGCTAACTTCTGCTCGCCATGTATCCAAACACAACACGTTTCACGTGTGTTTACATGCGCATTAGTTCAGACAGTTTTTGTACGGTTAAGAAATTTTGGGTGAACGTATCGAAAGTTTCCTATTGTATGTTTTGGATTCGAAGGATATATTTTAATCATAATTTCTTCATAGGTTCCTCGCTTTAATTTGTGTTTTGTTTTGTTTTTTCTTTTTGTTCGTTTGTTTATAGGATGAAAACGCGCGACTTGAGCCGCATGAATTTAGACAGTGTTTGGTCAGTTTAGGACACTCGCTTCCCGAAGGAGATAAGGTTTGTGATCGTGGTCGACACACGCACACGAATACGCGCACACACAAGAAGAAAACTTTGATTGGGTATTGTTTGAACAGTTGATATGGCATTAGATCTTAAGTAGTATGTTTATATTTTTGATTTATTGAATCCCACAGGGTGACGTAGAGTTCAACCGACTCATGACTATTGTAGATCCAAACAACACGGGTTATGTGACTTTCCAAGCATTCCTTGACTTTATGACGCGTGAAGTGGCTGATACGGATACCGCTGAACAAGTCATGGAGTCATTTAGAATCCTTGCTGGGGACAAGGTGCGTTTCTATGTCTAATGATATTAACTTCACATCTACTTGTCTTTTTCTGTGATGTTTAGTCGATGGTGGTTAAACAGCTCCTTGTGCGTATTTAACTTAATTTGTCGAAGAAAAATCTTAATTCTTTAACTCCTAAGAGTGATAAGCATCCAATTTCTCCTTTCAAATCAAATATCAAGGTCACGAGATCAAAGGAATTGATCACCAACTAAAGAAGCTCTTGATTGTTGCACAAATTCTCCTTTTCAGCGCCTTAGGAAATAAGAAAGCAGCTTAGCAAAGAGAAAAGTATGGAAATTATGCATTCTGATGTTTGGGTCGTGTAAAGGATTAATCGAGAGAAAAACTGAACAATCAGTTCCTGTTCCCTCTCGCGCTTGTGACAATGTTAATGATTTTGTTTGGTCCCGTTACAGCCGTTTATCACTACAGAAGAACTGAGACGTGAATTACCACCAGATCAAGCAGAGTATTGTATCGCTCGAATGGCTCCCTACGAGGGACCAGACGCAGTGCCTGGTGCTCTGGATTACATGTCCTTCTCCACTGCACTCTATGGCGAAAGTGACTTGTAACCACTTTTTATGGTATTGTAATATTAGGGAGGTGTTACTGTGGCTAGTCTGGTGTGACTGTGGCCAGTCAGTTTGTGTTTAGTTTCCAGACAGTATACTTGAGTCTTCTATACTCTGTGTAGAGAAAAGAAAATGGAAAGGTTAAGTAAGACGTTTACGGCAAACGTCAAAACTAAATTTTCTGGATCTTTCAGCCGTTTATACCCAAAAGTGACAATACTTCCGTAAACAATGAATAAGAGATTTTTTAAAACGACCTGCTTGATTTAAGAAGTAAAGGAATTCTGGGTAGAATGAAAGTCGAGTTTTGCTGTTTGCTGTAACCGCAAACGTAAACGTAATGATAAAAAAAAAAAAAAAAACACACAGCAATTCGTAATAATTTGTATGGAACCTTCGCTCGTATTTTGGATAGAAAACTTTAAAAAATCAAATGGAAATACAGGTTGGATTGCTTCGGGAGAAAAGCATTTTATGGAGATGAATATCGGCTCCAGGGAGTTGAAGTCCCGTTTAATGGTAGTCTGTGCATTTCTCCTATTAGATATCTTTTTCCGAGGGGTATATCAGCCATTAGCTTTGTTACTAGAAACTGTAGAATCCATCTTAATTTCTGGCCCAATACTTAAGGAGATGCAACATAAACTAGATGTAGAATAAAGGTAAATTGTTCTTCTCGTCCATCGAGTAGCGTGTGTAGGCAGCTGTCAGTATTTCCATTACAAACCAAAGCTACCTTACTGTATTAAACTGCAGTGAGGAATATAAATTTATATAAACTGGATGTGTCTGTTGTTACGTCAATTTGTTCCCAGGGTCTTTCTCCTTACTCCCAACCTTCTTCTCCCTCCCGCCCAGTCTCCCGTCCCCCTTTCCCCCGGAGCGAGAAATGGTTAAAAAGGAAGAATCTGCCAACGAAGAAAGAGCTCACAGTTTCCCCTAGACTTTACAACACTTGTTTCCCTCATAAACCGTTCAATGAATGCGACGCAACGATTCCCCAGAGCGTTGCGTGACATCGTAAAGAAATGTCGAGGAGATCCATTACATGGCAGAAAACCGAATTCCCTAAGAATCGCATGGCAACGGTTCCACCCGGTTGCCCCCCCCTAAGAATCCCATGGCAACGGTCCCACCCAGTTGCCCCCTAAGAATCTCATGGCAGCGGTCCCACCCAGTTGCCCCCCTAAGAATCCCACAGCTTAGAAGGGCAAGTACATCCCAAGTGTCAAAGAAAAAAAAATCTGTAAAACGCCTAAAGGATTTAAATTTTAAAATCCCTAGGAAAACAATGAGTGCACACTCCATAAATAAACTTAGGCCTATCATACTTCGTCACGAAAAGAGACCAAAAATGACTTCCGGCTTCCTCTGACAATGTCGATACATTTTTAAGTCTGAAGGAAAGGGGAGAAGAAAAATATGAAGTATGGGATGATGTTTGATTTATCTCGAAACTCTTATGTCTAAGATTGTATGGCAAGCAGTGAAAATGATTTTGTGTCGTTCTTGGGCCTCATTTTGGCGTGTAAGAGAATTGCCCTTTGCAGAAGAAAAAAAGTCTGGGATGATTGGCGTATGTGGAAAACACTAAAGAGGTTATGATAAACCGAAAAAAAGAAAAAAAGTACGACTAAAGATGTCTAGAAATAGTCACAACGTGGACGATCATAAATATTAAGGCTTAATTTTTCAAGGTCGACAATAACAGAGACTTAGCGGGAGATGTATTTTTCGTCTTGTCACGAGCCACTCTGTTACTGAGCTACAGTGACGCTGTGGTGAGCCGAAAACTATTAGAAAGTTCATATATGACATCTGTCTTATTCTATTTACAAACAGAGACTTAAATCCTTAGATCTGAAACATTTTACGTCATTGAAATGTATCTTTCAGTATTTTAAAACACGGATCCTTATATCTAGTACGTATTTATACCTCGCTTCCAATTTCCTTTTGTCAGTATTTTTGGTAATTCGTTCTAATATCCACTGATATCGCTCTCTAAGCTGACACGAAGAATTTTATCACTTCCCTTAGCTGACACGAGGAAATTGCGAGGACCTGGAAGTTCTCGCTGATATGGATACATTTCCTTGAGGAAGTTAAAAAAACCTACACGTTTAGAAAAATCTGTGAGGTCCAACTGCCTAGGAGAAAGAAGAAAATAAACATATGTCTGACTTCTTAATAATTAGTTTATATTTGGTTTTATTTCTATAGAGGGTAGAGTGGGGGGGGGGGAACACCGATTCAAAACGGGACTGAAACCTTGCGCTTATTTAAGTTTTTTAGGTCTATACTTAAAGATTATATTTTTAGAGACCCTCCCGTCCATAATAGGCTTTTCCTCTAGATCCAGTGTCAAAAACGACAAATCCAAGGTCTAGATAATCATTTGGTTGGCTGGCTGCCGTATCATAGGGCGCGGTGAGTGGGTGGAGCTGGAGGGAATATTCAGTCAAGCGGGAAGCACATTTCAGCGCGTATTGCTTTCGATTATTCCACTTCCTGCACGAGAGGTCACGCATGCAAGGCTAATTTCGCCTCCGTCCACTCACCCACGTTCTGGGTCACCTCACAACAGTGTTTGTTTAGTCCTTTCTTTTTAGCTTGCGGTTAGAAAAGCACTCATGCAAAGAGGCAAACAAGCAAGTAATAACTCTGCGTCCTTCCAGGGCGTTGCATCCGGTGATATGATCAGTATTTATACACTGACTCCTATTAAGGGAGTTGGAATTAGCAGAATGTTGGCGTGGCCAAAAATTTGGTAAAATGCGAATATAAACGAGAAATATCGACAGAGGTAATCGGATGTTGTCTACCACAACGAAGATTTCCGAAAAATCCCGAAGAGGGTTCTTGAAGTCACGTGTTGTAATCATGCTGATCAAGAGTCAATCGCGGTGGCGTTAGGTCACGAACAAGAGTGGTGTGGATTAATTTAGCGATTTGCTTTCCTTCTGTGTTCGAAGTAATATATTGTCATACTTGAGTCGTCGCTAAAAAATGGCATAAAAGATTGGGTAAGGACCGGAAGTCATCATCAGCTATTATTTTGGTTTGTGAGCACTGAACGGTATTCTCTATTAACTGATAGAACTCCTGTCACAACTGATCTTTCGTTCGATTTACGACAAAGTTCATTGTGACCGCTTGGACAAGCTGACAGCTGAATCCTCCCCTTACATGCGAAAATATTTCACAATAAGCCATGAGCAACCTTGGCAAGAAGTCGAAATGGAATTTGTCGGTTTTCATAACAAATTTAAGCACCGAAAAGTCGGTAGAAGTGAATGGAGAAACTCATGTTGGCAAATTGATGCTGGACCTCGTTGAAGGGCTCGGTAAGTGTCATAACGGCGCGCCTGTGATTCCATAGCATAACCTTTTGATCGGGTGTGGTGATTATGTCGTGTTAAACATGTAATTCTGTTGAGCAATAGCGAAAGAAAACTGTCTCGTGACTTCTCATTGTTTGTCAAGATGTAACTGACGGAGACATTTTAGGCGATAGCTCTTGTTATGTATTGGAATTCGAAAGCAAATGAGCATCCAAAGCGATTTAGATTGAGGTGTACATGTGCAAATATTACTATCAAGCTACGGCCATTTGAACGTGCGGAAAAGGAGCACTATTTACGTTAACGATGTGCTTCTAGTTTCATATCGTCTATTGATATTTTTACAGATATAGCAGCTGACTGGTCCGATCATGGTTTATGGTGGCCTCAAAAACGACAATGGCTTCTTAAACCTCGCTTGACTCTTGATACCATCGGAGTTCAGGGCGATGCGGTTCTTCAGTTTACTCCAACGCATAAAAAAGTTCGAGTTCAGTTACCTGACTTGCAGTACGTTGAAGTCTCCTTAGACTTTTCCAAGCCTATTTTTCACGCTGTGCAAGAACTTTGTGCCGAACTTGGAATCAGGCATCCCGAAGAACTCTCTTTGTTGAAACCGTACGAAGGTTTGAGAAAAGAGGGCCGGAGAAGCTTTCGTGGTAAATTAAAGAAAAGGCATTCGCAGTCTTCGCTTAGTTCGGACGACAATTTATCTACTAATAGCGACGACAAAACGAGAGGAAGCAAGGATAGTTTAACAGTTCCGAATTATAATTCGCTTCCCAGGCATGGCTACTCTTCACCGAATGGCACCCTTAGCCCGTCACCACCGGGGTCGGCTGGTTATTCAAGTTTTACGTCTGATGGGCCTTGTGCAACGATCGAATCAACATCTTTAGTTAACAGCCCAGTGTCTCCATCAATGGAAGCTATTGGAGCGTTATTCAAACCCAAAACGCTACAAGAAAAAGCAGTTGTCAACAAAGGGTATGGTTGTTTGTTTGTTATAAGAGGAATAATAATAGTAATAATAATTTAATATTTATATTGCGCAAGTTACATGTGGATATGATCAAATGCGCATCACAACACTTGTCGGGGGACTTTGGCTGTACTGCATCAGCAGTTTACAAACAATCGAAGGAACTTATTTGAAGGTGCTCCCTCCCCCAATTCCCAGTAAACAGGCCAGACCACATTACAGTCATTTCGTGAGTGGGTTCTTTAGCGTCCCCAGCCTAAGCAAATTAACTAATTAATAGATGCGGGATATGGGACTTACGGTTTATTCATCCTTATCCAAGAAGACTAGAATGTCTATCCATTTCTTATAGGAAGATAGTACATTCTCCTCAGTTATTGTAAGACCTTGAATGTTGGTCCGAAAAATTGAAGAGCCTGCCTAATGTTGTAAAAGTACATCAATCTACTAGATTTCAGACTACAATGGTCTCCAACAGTCTGTAGAAAACTTAATTAAATATGACTCTGCAATCTAGACCTTTGAGAAGCCTCCATTTAATTTTCTTCAAATCCCCACTCCTTCACCAAACAATGGGGCTATGGAAAAGTAATCCAATGCTCACAGACCTCACGGATTTCTAAAGCCTTGAACATACAGTGACAGTTTAATTTGACATGTTTACATCTTGTGTGTATGAAAAAGGTTTTAAGCCATGATTATAAATGGTATGATTCTGTTTTGGTACACAAGTGCAAGCTACATCTTGCTAAGGCTTGCTCCTTAGTTTTATACCCAGTCCTTTCATACCCAGGGTGGTTTTGTACCCAGGGTCATTGCATACTCAGTCGTTTTGTACTCGACTTAAGTAAATTCTTTCGCGGTTTGAGTCAGTTCGTACCTGAATCATTGATCGATTCGTACCCATCCCAATATATATTCATTTTGAAATACTCTTGTGCACGTCCATGAACAATAGTTGATTGTTTTGCACAACAAGCTAGTAGAGTCTAAATAGTAAGGTACCAGAAAAATTCCATTTGTGTAAGCTTGTGGTCTAAACAAGGAAAATAGCAACAGCTAATGAAAGTGTGTTTCTATTTTCTCCCTTTGTTATATTCTCATATTTCTTTTATTCCCTTCTTACTTCAAACATGTTTAACATGGAAACATACTTTATTTGTGTTAATAGTCATGAAATAATGCAACTGGCTGGGAATGAATCTACCTAGTTGTAACAAAACACCTTGGGTGCGAAACGACTGGAACTTCTTTTGGTATAGCAGATTGTAGAACTCTTCAGCTAAATTACAACCTTTGCATTTTACTTTACACTGCTCTTTTGAACAATGAAATTATGGACTAGGCTCACTCTTCCAAAAAACAAAATCTGTCAGCTAAGAGATTTCCACGGGAATAATTGTACACAACTATAAAAATTAATTAGAAAGATAATGGCACCTGTCAAATTACAAGAATGTACAAATAGTTTATTGTTACAAGTCTATTAATGAGCTGGTGTTGTAGAAAAGAGATTTTTAAGGAGATTGGGATTGTGATGGAAATTTATCTCCTGCAGCCAGATTTTAAATTTCGTTCATTCACAGTTTGGTTCATTTGTCTGTGAATGCTTCATTCCATAGAACAACATCTTCATATCACATTTTGGGTTTGTTAAATAAAAATTGTTTTATGTTAAAAGCAAAATTGCGAGAACTCTATGTGCCTGTTTTTGTGTTGATTATATTTATTGTTTTCTCTCTTGTTCTTGACAGATGGATGGACTCTTCACGATCTTTAATGGCACAGGTATGATCTGTTCCTGTCACATGTTAACACTCCACACCCTAATATCAGTATGCATATTCTCCATACATACACACATACATATCTACATACATACATACATACATACATACATACATACATACATGCATGGGTTAATTGACCACTCCCCATAGGGACTTTTCAGGGCCAACACCCACCCATCCC